GCCTTAAGGACTGTAATTCTGCATGTCCTGCATGCACGGTCAGCTGCCAGGTTGCTATTCAAGTTGTTCTTGGGTGTTTCTTGTTTGCTCTGGGTGTGTCATCTCAATCCTTCCTTCTCCTGTCCACTACTGTCTGTTGTGTGTCCATTTCTCCTCCTTGACCACTGACAACGCTCAGATGCACTTGTCTCCTGGTTCCATCATACCCAACACGTGTCTGAGTTATCTTTTTCTGCAGGAGAGCAATTGAGAGCTGCGCTGAAGGAAGGTAAGGAGACTTTCTAAAACCCTATCCTATTACGAGTCTTTCCACATGAATCAGAGCAGGAGCTTCTGCCTTTCTGTCTGGACACTGACTGACATGTCCCCATGTTCACCACTTTTCCAAGAGGCAGGGTAAAGGACAGGGACATACTAGAGAGGATCCAGACCTTGCCTTGCAGCCACAAGGCTGCTTATGCATGAATTAATTCGTGTTAGGTCCGTCCTCTGCTGCTGGAATATACGTGAGTATTTAAGTCTTGCCCCGACACCTGCAGAGTGGACATACCTGTAATGAAGTGAGATGCAAAGAGAACTAAGTAAAGTTAATTATTTTTTTCCGCTATTTAAGTACAACCTATGGCAAGTTTTAGTGAGGAATAATTGTGTACTTTTTATACTAGCAGACACTGTGACACGGGCATTTGGAGTATTCTGCGTTGGTCAATACATTAGGAGGGTCAGGCTCATCTGGCTTTAGCCAGAGTACACAGTAGATGATGGATTTTGTTGTAATTTTCTCTCATAGGTTTCACAGCTTTTACCAGGACCAAAACAATGATCTTTGAGAGAAAAAGGAGAACTTTACCAAGCCTTAGGCTCATGCTTGGGGCACACTATGGCTCATATAAAGTTAAAAAATAATCTAAACCATACAATTTTATTTTGGATTATTTTCTGCATTACAATAGAAGCAGTGAAGCATAATTTGGGAAAGGAACTGTTACAGAGCTGTGTCTGATCTGGAGGCTGGTAGTTCATGTTCTTTTTAAACCAGTCAGGCTGCATTCCAGCTCGTGTGAATGAGCCTCCCCCCCACCGAGGATATTATCCTTGAGACTCAATAGCAAAATCTGCCTCGAGAAAGGAAGCCTAAGGATGAGAATGAGCTTACTCTGGTTCCTCTCGACTTTTGAGGAGTTTCTTCTCATTTTGAAGAAAAGGTTCTTGTGTCAGGACCACCTCTTTTCCCTTCCTAATCCCCCAAAATTGTCTTGTCTCTGAAACATTGACAAATCTCTCCTCATAGACATCTTGCCAACAACACCTCCCTGGTCTAGTGGAGGTTTGCTCCATCCTCACAGCTTACAAGAGAGACCCGTTTTGTGCTTTTCAGACGTAGAACAAAGGGCTCAAATAGGTCCTGCCTGGTGATTGTACCAGTAACAAATAACCGAGATTAATAACCAAAGACCGAAACCACCCAACGGAGAGAGGAAGTCAGTATCCCAAGAGACAGTGCCGTTCCCAGATGGACAGAGGTCCTCAGGGGCAGATGATGGTTGATTCTGCCTGCTGGGTACACTCATGTGGCCAGATCCTGAGAGCTCCCCAAGGCTCGCAGTTCTTGGGCAAGTCCCTGCACCCTGGGCATCCTCAGCATCTTATGGAAGTCCGTTTGCTTGTGTGAGAGGATTTTAGCTGGGTGCCAAAATGGGGCTTGGAGCTTAGCTTTTGGCAGCTCACCTTCAAAATAGTGATCTTTGTAAATGTATTGGTGAAAAAAAGACACGAAATGAGAGACTTGTGGGAGCCCCTTATTTTTCCTAAAACCACCTTGGCTCCGCATTTAATAACTCGCTTTGAGAGATGGTGTTTCAAATGAGAGAAAAATGGATTTGGTAGTGTACAGACCTGAGGACTTTGGGGAAAATGTAACCGTTTCATGTTAATGATGAGCTGGAGCAGAGCTCATTTAGGTAAATCTAGAGCCCCAGATGGATGCAATACCGTGCAATAGTGTCTGCAGCTGCAGTTTCTGGATGCGATGGCAGAAGCAAATACCTGTGACATTACTTGCTTGGAAACTTGGAGCTCTGCAAATTTGATACCATTTTGGAAGTGTGTATTAGCACTTCTGCTGATACTCGGTTTTGTCTATAGGTGGCAGTGACCTTTCATTTTTTCTGTAAAATAGGGCAGAAGCATACATACATATGTCTTCCTAATTTCACTGAAGAATCTGGCCAGGGCTCTGAAGCTGTGCCATTTACTGAGCTCTGCACCCAGAGGAATGGCCACAGGCTTGTCACCTTTCTTCAGTAGCCCCTTTGTCCCAGAGCATGCCAAATGCGTAGTTGTAATACTGCTCACACAATGCAAACATCAGTGCAAGACAATAATCTATTACTGTTGCAAGGAGGGAAAATGTCTTAAGACATATATGTGCATGATGGAGAACTGCATTTGGTGTTTTGGGACCGTATTCTCAAGAGGGTTATATAGCCAGTTTGTCCCATTTTTAGCAAAGTCTTCAAGTCTTGTCTGGCTTTCTATGAGAGGGAAGGTTCTGCTGAGTGAAAAACTTTAAAAATTCCACATGACCACTGCGTGTGTTTTATTTCAGTGAGAATTATCAACCTGATTGTAGAGAATGGTAATTTCTCTAGAGCAAAATATGCCAGAGATCGGAGTCTGTGATCTCTGCTCTGTATCAGCTAAAGATAACTCACCTGACATGAGTAGAGCTGCATCAACAGAAACTGGATTAATTGAGAATCAAGCCACAAATCATTGTCAAAATAATAATAATAAAAAAGAATGTGCTTCTCTCACCCCCCACAGATATGAGCTGATTTTACAGCACATGTGAAAAAGGAAGACATAACCTGCAAATATTCCATCTCCTGCTTAAGTTGCCTCCTGGCATGAACCAGGCGGCCTTATGAATTGAAAACAAAAGTAAATCCTCCAGATTCAACCAGATACTAAATTTACCAGCAAGACTAAGCAGTAGGATTTGAATCTCGTTTTCTTCTCTTCCAATCGGACAATGCTTAAAGTTGCTAGGAAACAGAATTACATAGCAAGGACAAGAGGCCATTGTACATCCATGGGGAAATGTTGGCTGGTTTCCACCAGAAATCAGAAGTTCTGATATATAGTGGAAATATCAGCTGAGAAGATAAAACCCCTGTAAAATAACTCTGCACTCTGAATTCAAGGCTCAGTCCTACAGCCACTACTTATGCAGCAATTCTCAGCAGTGCACGACTGCAGTTCGTATTTCGGCATCAGTGGGGGCTGTGGTGTCCAGAGCGGCACTAGGCACTTAGCAGAGAACAATCACCATCTCTGGAGAGAGCCCCAGCTTGGATTTTACATCAGCTAGGATGCAGCATAAAACAGAAGCCAGATCTGGACCATCCCTGTAAAGCAAAGGTTAGGAAGAACCCCCAACCAGCCTGAGCTCTGTACACAGTAACTGGACACAGACACGTGGGGCTGTGGGCTGAAAGAAAAGCTGCCCCCAGTTCTCCCATCCAGATGCTGGTGAACATGTTTTAGCAAAACTACTCTTCCTTCTTTTCCATAATAGCCAAGAGTTGTTTAATTAAAACAGTAAACAAGTTGCTGTCATCCATACCTCTGCAGCTTCACTGATTCAGGCAGGCATAAACCACAGCAACAGCAAAACAGAAGAGCCCATGGTGGCTGTGCAGGACATCCAACAGGATGTCCACCTTCCACCTTCCTCTTTTTGGAGACCTTCCTCTTTCAAGGTGTGGCTCAGAATAGTTTCTCCTTATCAATTATTTGTCTAGCTTTAAGAACATATATACATACATATCCTGGGCGAAAGTCAGCAGGACCCTTCCTCTGCACTTCAGTCTGGTTTGCCCTTTAACCATGTTGCAGGGAGTGTGGTTGGCCCAAAAAATGTACAGTCCTAAAACATAGCAAGTTCAGAGGGTACATAAATGTATTTTAAAGTAAGGGGAAGAAAAAAAAAAAAGAAAACCCAAGCAAAACAATAAAAAAACCCCAGCAGGTTTATGTGTACTTGTACATAGGAAAGATAGGAAAGAGGCTAAAATGGAATTGAACACACTGCTGCTGAAACAAACTTCAGAGAAATCAGAATAGCTTCATTAAATGTTGAATTATCTAATGGACTAATAGCAATTAACTGGATAAGATTATGCCTGGATTGTTGTCAGAGCTGTGACTCCAGCAAGTAAGAACATAGGCAAGACATTTCAGACTGAGTAGCCTGGGTATCAGTAGTGCTGCACCTGTGGCAACACAAGATGCTCAAAAAGCACAGCCAGGACCACAGATGCACAGATCCACCAATGCTGCGGTGGCTGCTCGGCGTCGTCTCTGACTTGGTGCAGCGGCAGTCTCAGCAGTGCTCGAACTAGCCAAGGATATGTAGCTCAGTTACTTCTGCGAGCTGCAGGCAACTGGTGAAGCTGTCTAGAGCAGGTCAAATACTTCCACAACCACAGGCGAGAATTTCTCCCAGAGGATTTGTTATACGCAACTGCAAGACTTACAGGGCTTAATTTTCAGAGTTTACATGCATGATGTCTTTCCACGCTGCCTCTTTTCTATTTCCAAATGAAAACCAAACAAAAATACAGAACCCCACCAAGCTGCTGATATTTATTCATCTATTTTGGTCTTTGTCACATTATTCTGCTACTAACTCAGTGTTACTGCGTACTAATGAATGATGCAGGTGTGACTGAATCCAGTTTTCCCCAACAAACAAGAAAAGTTTGTTTGTACCATTTTTAGTGAGCAGCTGGGAGCCCCTATGCATAACTGGGTTTGAGTAAGACTGGTTGGTGCAGGCTGATGACTTGGGCAGGTGGGGCTTATCTGGAATTCAAACAGCCTGTCGAAGTCTGTCACCATTGGCTGTCTCTTAATTTGAATTAGGCAGTCAATTCCTATTAATGAGAAAGAAAGAGGTTTTTTGGGGCTTTTTTCTCTTCTACCTTCCAGGAGCCATGGGGAATACAATGAGCCTCCCTGAGGAAGCTGAAGAAGACAATACATGCACAGTCAAGAGTTATCAGGTAAGAGCTGCCTGCTCTCATCTTCCCTGGCTATTGCATACTGCAGTTTTCAGATCCCATGATGTACCCAGTCCTAAGAACTGTATCATTTTCTATTTCAGCCTCTATCTGAATCACCTGACAATATTAAAAATGGATCTGTTGCATTTGTTCAGAATCATTCTCCTGCAATGAATGGTGAAGGTATGTACCAGGAAAGGGTGGCATGTTGGCACTTCTTTTGCCACCAGACAGGCTGAGAGAGGTTTGTGCTGAGGCATTGACAAATTTTGGTGCATGGTCTTGAATTAAAATTAATTACACTATTTTCTGGGGCTGTTTTAAGCAGCTTGCAGAATTTTCTTTTGTTAATGCTAAAGTTCTTTGCAAGCTGGTTACAAAAAAATGAAATAAAATGAAAAATAAAATCCAGGCCCTACTTACGTTCTTATCCACAAGATTCTAGAGTCTTATAAACTATCTCAGCATCTTTTTGTGAAACTACATTTCTGATCCTTTCAGTGGCAATTTCAACAAATGACAAGTAGAAAAGCGAGCACCTTTTTTTCATCTAATCTATCTTGTTCTCCCATTTCCAGTCCTGTATTATAGAGTAGGTGTATTGCTTTGACTTCCAAGATACTGAAAACTGTTTGTGAACAATGAAATATGTATAGGGATATTTTGTCCTGTTTGTCATTTAGAAAAAGTGATTGGCTGGGAAAATGCACTGTAAGGTGTTGAGATGTTGCTATGGCATAATTACCTATGGACCAGAGGTTTTGCGGTGAAATGCCACCTCTGATCCTGAGCTGGCTCTTAGTGGTACCTTTCATAGATAGAAATCTATCTTGCTCTTATCTTAGAGGTAGGAGGCCTTCTTGAAGAGAGCAAAGTGTGGCTGATTTGCAGCGAGATCTTTGTGTACAAAGCTAATAGTAATTATAGCACCCTAATAGCAATTTATAGAGTTAGGTAAGTGGCAGCTGGGAATGCAGCATGGCTGACAACACTGTTAACAAGAGGTCAGTCCTATTCACCAGAACTTATTCAAACTGTGTCATGAGGCTGATGTTGCAACCCTGACCACTTCTCTCCCATTCCTGTTATAAGATTTATTGGGTATTACTCAGCTATTGCCAGGGCAGCAAGAGCATGGCAAGGAGGGGCACGATGACTTGTTTCTTTCTCCGTACACTAATGGAATGAAATCAATATGCCCCTGTTATGTTTAAAATGTGGGTGTTGGTGTAGAAGTTGAATGGTTGGTGGGGGTATGGGTAAATCACCACTCAGTAAGTGTGTTCCATTTCAGACCCCTTTGGGTGGTTTTCATGGCAGGACAGTGCTGGGTTTTTGAGCGATCCCACCAGTGGCAGGCTGCACCCTGGGCTCCTCATGGAAAGGTGCCTGTTAGGAGCTGAGCCCCACTTCCAGTGTTGACATATGGAGAATCTGCTGTGAACTAAGTGTTCTGAGCATTAAAAATTTGGCTCCAAGTAATTTTGAAAAGTTATCTCCACATATTCCTGGCCAATTGCTCTCATCCAGACGTGTGTCTCTCCTCACCTTTCAGCAACTCATTAATTACTTCTTCCACCTCTTGATGGCTTTGGAGCCTTTTTCAGCAGCATTCAGGCAGAAGCCATTTGGAGCAGTGTTGCTTCACTTCATCTCTGCATATTCAGCCGTGTTAATTTTATCAGTGTTCTTCTGGCATTGGATTTCTTTCTGTTTTCAGAACACAATAAAAAAAACCCAGTTTTTTCCAATCTCTGTGAGGAAAGAAAATAATATTTTATTATGCATTCTTAAGAGAATCCTCTCAGTCTGTTACATCCAGTTGAAAAACCTAAGCTTAGACAAAAATAATCAAGGACTGGTATGGTAAGATGCAGATGGTACTGATTACAGTTCAGAATCTCTGTTCCATGGCTAATTTCCTAATGCCATCTAGCTAGTCAGTTTAAACGACTGCCTACTAGAAAATAAAAGCCCGTAACTGTGTGTTTCTCTGATGGTATAAAGCAGCAGAGTTCTGGGAAGTAAATAAAACCCAGATGACTTACACTGGCTGAGGACCTAGAAAATAAGTATACATTTTAGTCTTAATATATAAAATGAAGCATATGGCATTGTTTTACTTAAATGGATTATCTAGTTAATGTAACTACTAAATCAGTTTAAGTAGCAAGTTGAAAAATTGGACTGTCCTGTGTTGATACTACTCTTTTTTTTAACTTTATTATTGTTTAAAAAGCAGTTAAAATTATTAACTAATTAGATACCACTGAAATCTCACTGGTTTGTATAATCAAGGTCTTGGTGAAATAAAGTGCAAGGCCTGTTTGGAGGCAGAAGTTATTCCTATAGAAAATGTAGTAGATAGTATTTCTAAAATTTAATAATGCAAGAAATAGTACTCTAATCTATTTTTATGGCTATAAAGTGAGCACCTCTGGAGAAGACAAGGGCTGCAAAAAAAGGCAAGTGAAGCAAGAGGATTTTATTAATGTGTAAGATGTATGTTTGTGGTCTTTGTCTTGTTAGTTTGCATTTCTGTGATTGCCAGTGATCTGACCATGTGCTGTGCATTAAATGGTGTAGTTGATAAATGAGTCTATGAAATCTGTATCTGCTAATATAATGGAAAAAAAAAAAGAATCTAGAGAGTTAACTTAATATGACCAGAGGAAGTAATGTTATTTGGAAGAGCCTCATCACCATCTGCTTCACATCTGGGTGAGCAGATTGGTGACTTGTTCCCTGCATTTGCTGCTTCTGCTCAAACAAGCTGACAGATGTGGGGACTTAGGGATTCTTTCCATGACTTGCCTTTCCTGCTCCAATTGATTACCAGGGCTGCAGACACTGCACAGAGTGCTAGCATCCACCTTCGCCTGTAATGCCATTTAAATAGCTGTGGTGCCTCTACTGCTACTTCATGGCACATTGCTTTGCAGGTGAAGAGATACCAAACTTGAGCCTGACTTCTCCTTGTGTTTTGTGTTGGCCTTTTTGAGCTTTCAGTAATGTCAGCACTTGGTGGACAATGGATAAAGGGAAGAAGGCCAGAGCTAAAAGCTGTGTATCTCCCAGATTTGCACTGTATAGAGCAGAAATGTATCAGGAAGGCAAAATGGGAAAAATTGTTTCTATTTGGGTGACAGTTACATGCAGATTAGAATGATGGCATGCTCACAAAAAGAAAGATTACACAAGGAATAAAAGCTCAGTTAAGATGCAGCTCCTTTGTTCCAGAGCGTAAGTTCTCAGCAAATCCTGCTTCTAGCCCATATCTAACAGAAATGGGTGCATTGCAAGAACTCTGTGTGCCTGTAAGGTGTGAAACACAATGCCTTTTACTTTGTTGTTTGGTGGTTTGTTTTTTTTTTTTAAGAATGGTCATTACTATTCTTGCTGCTAGTCCTTCTTCACCCATTTCTATTAATTTTGGCAAATCTGCTAGGTAAATAACAATGCTAGTTAACTTAGTGGAACAAAATTACTCTTAGAGCATATGTACTGTCAACTTTATTTGCATGGAATAGTTGAGCAAGATTGCAAAAGAATATTAGTACGTTTCTCTTTTATGAATGGGCAAAAATGTCTTATTTTGTAGTTCTCTAATGTGTCTGAAAACTCATTTAGTCTTGTCACAACAATTTTTGGGGGTCTCCCACACAAACATGAGGTATTCCTGAAGATTTGAAAATTCCACCTCCACTGTAGCATTATGATACCAACTGAGTTCTGAATAACAGAAGGAAAAATTAACCTACCCCATATCTATAAAAATATGCCAGAAATGTAAATTAGAATTTCTTTTGTGGCTGTGATTTTAGATTTTGAAGCCTAGTATTTGCTGCAGTAACTCATTCAGGAGTGTATAATCCATTGTGCTGGCCTACACTGATGGACCTTTTAGTGCCAAATGTTGCCTTGTAGCCCTTAATGGTTCCTTCATGGTCATTAAAATCTACTGTCTCCATGATTATCTGGTTCCCCCGAGTTCAGAAAATGCTGTGGTACTATAACTACATTGCTAAGTAAAATATCTGTTTGACTATTTTGAATACAAGCCAGTTGGAAAGATACTAAAATCGTATTTGTAGCTAATGTTTTGCACTGTTCAGTTTTGTAAAAACTCATTTTTTCTATTGTCAAAAGCAACAACATCAGCAAGCACTTTTTCCTAGCATTTATTTTATGGCATGTTTGCATGCTAGTGGCCTGCAGGAGATGTCTATGCTGAGGACCTTGCCAATTCAAGTTGTTCCTCATCCAACAGCAAAAAAGTTATGTGCACTATAGGAGTCAGCAGGATAAACAGGAGGTGAGAAGCTGCCAATGTAAGACATCACAAGACCTTATTTTCTATATTCTTTACATGTAAATATTAGCCATGAGGGTGGATATAGCTGCTGAAACCAGACTAGCAGTCAAAGGCTAAGGAAAGGAGCATGTTTTAAGAAAGCATGTGAAGGATTTAACTTGGGCAAATTGAACATCAGAAATAGATGCCTACCTAGCACATGGCTTAGGCTGCTGCCAGGAATAAAAAGAGCAAACTAAGCTTCAGAGAAAATGAGGTTATAGTGGAGGAGGAGGGAAGACAGTCTGGAAGTGCTGGACAGAATTGCTCTTGGTCCCACTTCAGGGAATTTGGCTGCCATCTGTTATGTGCACCAGGCTGAAGGCTGGTTCTAGTCCCAGCAATGAGCAAAAGCAAATCAGCTGACAAAAGTTTGGGCAGCACTTTCATTCATGTGGGACTGGTGGCTCTGAATTTCCTTTCATGTCAGGTGCATACTCAGGGTTCCAGCCCACATCTGCCGTTCCCTGGTCAAGTGCTGCTTCTTGGTCCCAACACATGTGAAACGAGCGCCTGCAGTGAGGCACCTTATGCCGAAGTTTTCTGGGCTCTGCTGCCTGCACGTGCTGTTCTGGGTACAGTAGATCCAATAATGAACAGTAAGAATTCCATACCTATATGGTCAGTTTTGCAGCTCACGTGGTCAGCCTAAAGGCTGGGCTCGCCTTGGGGCTTTGTCCATTATGGTATTTTATTTGCTGGCTCTGTCTATTAAAACCTGAGCGCTTGCTTTTTAAAATTCATTGCAAATTCTGTAGACTTGGTCCTGTTCTATGTCAGCAAATAGTACTGTTCTTCATTCTCAGCCTATGGAAGTACTTAAAATGCTAAAGTCAAGGATCTGAAACAAAGGGGGAGAAAGTCTGTCAGCAATTACTTCTGAGCAGGGAAATGGTATTGACATAACATTGCACTACCCATTAGTCTTCTCTGTACGGTTTTTCTTGCAAGTCAAGAAAAGTCTGTCTAGTTTACCAAATTTCAGAAAAAATATCTTTATTTTGTGTGCTCTTACAGAAGAGGCACTTCTGCTGCTATAGTATTGCCTTTTTAACATATCCGGATGAAGTGAAAGGGAAGGAAGCACAAACCTTCCGTAGTGTGACTGTCTTTTGGTAAATACTTGAGAGGAAAATGCCTGTGTAGTGGTAGTATGAAATGCATTCTCACAGCAGTGCTCTAGATTGTATATCAATTTTAGTTTCAGAGCAGGTATTAATCTCATTTGGAGTGAGCAGCTTTGATCTATTTGCAGACCTGGTCTAGAATTTGGGAGGTTTTGCTTCCATTCTTAATTCTGCTTCTGGATTGTGGAATAGTTTCTGTGGAAAGAATGGCACTTCTGTGTCTCTAAAACCAAAAATATCATGTACTTTTCATCCAAATATTGCAATTTCAAAGCTTTTCTCCTTCACAGTTTACTGTGAATATGGTATGAGTCAAAGTCTTCTGTTCAGCCCACCACAGGAGTGTCTCCTCCCTGGTGGGATCTGATTTGCCTGGTGTCTGAGCAGAGTTTCCCTGAAACAGTTTGAACTGTTTTGACACAAGAGACATGCTGCAGAGCTCATGATGATGTTTTGCAGGCTTTTCATTCCTTCCATGATGATTAGAGATAAAAGGAGCTTGATAGGTTTATGAGATACTTTTTGTTTGGTGGGTTTTCTTCATGATGAGCTTATATTCCTATTTTTATACTAAGGACAGTTTTCCTGTGTTTCATTTTTTATCTGTTACATAAAGCAGAAGTTCAGCATCTATGACAATTATTTTCCAATGGATATTGTTTCTGCTTTCTTTAGCTGGGGAAGGATTTGCTTTTTGCTTCCTTCCCAAGTTTCCAACTATAATTAGAAGTTAGTGCTTCAGTTCTTTTTTCATGCAGTCCTACAGGAGGCTTAGAAAACTATAACTGACACTTAGTGGTGCTGACTGAGGAGCTGAATAGGTGGTTGAGTAGCTAGTTATTTGTACCTTTCCTTTGCATGTCAGTATGTTGAAATAGGTGCTCATGAAATACTGCAGATGAATATTACTGGCAAAGGATTTTTGCCAGTGTGAGTTATTTTCCTACATGAATAGTAACAGAATCCAGTGGAAGAAATGCCCTCTCTTAGAGTGCACACAAAGTGAAAATCTATTTACCTGGACAGAACAGGTTGAACTGAGACGCTCTGGTGGGCCTCTGCATGTTTGCATACGCCCAAAACACAGTGAGAAAGTTAATGTCAGACTAAAAATGTTAGAAGTAGAAAAGTTGGGAACCAGCTTGCCAGCAGCTGGTAAAATGCTGGCTGCAGTTGTGAATCCTGCCACCACAGCCCTCGCTGTCAGCTCTTGCCTCCACTGCCAGGAAGTATTTCTACAGTCTCAGTAAGTTCATGCTGGCATTCTCGGGCACTTCTCATCTCTGGGTTACGGAAGCTCCCACCTCCTGCTAGTCAGGACCAACCTCAAACTCTGAAACAGGGGCCTGGTGGGGGCTCTCGGTCACTGAGCTAAGGCCATGGGTAAGGGGATGTCACGGCTGGATGCTGGGGGTTCTCTTGCACCTGCCCTAGGACATGACCAGGGTCCCCTTGGGCACAGCTGCAGGAGGATGGTATCGAATGGACACGGTTACATGCTGTACAGTGCCTGATAGTTGTGTGGTGTTATGCAAAATCCTTGGGTAATTAAGCTAAGAGATAATTTGGAAAGCTGTGATCTAAAAATGTTCTTTCCTTATCTTAAAGGAATTTAAAAAAAAAGAAACTGAACACTAAGATCTGTTCTGTGGAAGACAGGCGCTTTAGTCAGGTTCTGTTGGTATCTGGGGTTTTATTTCTGTTAAAGTAAAATGGAAAGGGCATAATATTGACAAGACTATTACGTTTATCATTTGAAATAATTTCAATTTTACACTGAAACTGACAATTTTTAAATGCTAATTTAGCAAGACAGTTTGAGACTGTCAGTTTTCACAGTTATAATTAAGTAGATCTAAATTCATACTTGAAATCCGTGGTGATGATTGACAGGGAAACCAGATACATATTCTAGTCAAAGTTGGGAAGAGAAGCTCAAGCTGAGGGGGAGCTGTAAGGTTTACCTTTTGACAAGCCTCCTCCTGTTTACTGGGGTTTCACACCATGTAATCTGTGATTCAGTCTCCCATCCACAAGACAAGATATGAGACATCTTTTTCTGTCTCATTTCTTTTGTCTTCAGTAAAGCAGGAGCCTTCTCCTGTCTGCATATACACTGTTAGGGATTTTCACCTCAGCTGTATTATCAAACTGCCATTGTAACAGAAAATCATAAAATATGCTTTTAAAATGAAATATTTTGTTCACATCTAAAGTATGATGGCCATGTGTTTACACAGGGGGAGTTATTTGTGAAAATTGAGCGGTGGGGGGGATGAGGGGGTGATTAAATGCCATGTTGTTTGCAGTTTAAAAAAGATTCAGACATGTCAGGATAAGAAGCCTGGCTCAGATATGATTTATAAGTATTCAAATCAGGCTTAAACTAACCTACAGACACTAGAGGAGAAGTGCAAGTAGAAACTGCAGTATGGAGAGTAGGCAGCAAAGCAAGGAACAGTGTTGGAAAAATGAATGAAATAAGTTATGACTGCAAAGCCCTGTGGGGAGTTCGGCAAGCCAGGAAACAAATCAGTCCTTGCAGTTTCCATTCTCCATCCCATTTAGCTCTGACAGAGGAAAGTGTAATATATCAATATACAACTTTATCTCAGGGGGTTTTGGGGTTTTTTTTTGTGTGGGTTTTTTTTTTTGTATATCACTTCTTTAATTTTAATTATAAAGAAAAATATCCTCAGCATGTTCACTGAGTTAAATAGTCAAAAACCTGGGCTGTTATCTGACTTTGGCAGCTGGGTGGGGGCTTTGGAGGACATAAAATTTGCACTGACTTCAATGAGGAATGACAGGAAAGAAAATTAGACGGGCAGGTCTGATAGATGAGCAGCAGCTCGTATTCAGCACGGGAAGACAACAGGGCGTCTAAACAAGCTGCACTCTGTGTGGTCCTCCCCAAGGCTCCACGTTTCAGAATTAGTTTATTAAAGAGCGAGACCACCATGATTAATTGTACAACCAGTGTAACTTCTTTGCTGTGCTGGATAATTACTGTTTTATGCTTCTGTTTGTAGTGGATGCAAAGGCAAGTGTTGCACGGGATAATGTGGCCGTTTCTTCCCCGAAGACAATGGAGCAGAGCCCCGTTCCCGAGGCGGGCGGGCCGAGTCTCGGGAGCGCTGCCAGCAGAGCCCTGCCATCTGCTAAATCCCGCTCTGTCTTCGCGTTCTCATGGTCTGTACCAGGGCGTACTGAAGATCCAGCTACGGATTCATCCGTTGGATCGGCAAAACTTGATGTCAGCTCGGAGGCGCGCGGAGTGAACAAAGCGCCAAGTGACAGCGTGGAGGTTCCTGCAGCAGCTGCACGGGAGGAAGGCGCACATAAAAACCTGACCTGTGCCCCGCCAGCAGCATCGCTTCGGGACGACGATCTCGTGGCATCAGTGACACCTGAGGGAGAGGATGCGGCCTCCTCAAAGCCCAGACAACTAACCTTCTTTGACAGGATCTTCAAACTGGAGAAGGGGAAGGAAAGGAGTAAAACACAAATTGGTACCCAGGAGGACAGGCAGACTTCAGACCTCCCCGACGGGCACATCACGGCGGAAGAGGCTGCCACGTTACGGAGCACATCAAACAGTGTCCCACAGGGGAAGGCAAGTGCTTGAATAGGAATATCTGCTTCACTCTTAATGAAACCTCTTAGGAATAATAGTGCAGGACAACTTGATGTCATGATGGCTGTGTGAATGAATCAGTGTTGCTCTCAAAACTCTTGCAGGGAACGCCCGCAGGGGTGACTGAGTAGAGGTATGGGAGGAGGACCTGTGTCTGCTCGGATGTCTGCTTCATGACTAGGTGCTAGCATCTGACCTTCAGTTTTAAGTTCAACTGTGTTTCTCGGAAAGGTTGGGCAGGATGCAATGTGATGCTCCAATTGCCAGGATGATGAACAGCAGCCAGATACAAATGAAAGTAAAAATACCTGAAAGTAAAATTGTTTCTTCTGCTTCAGGAGCTTGGAGTTTGACACTGGACAGTTCTAAAGAAATTCCATAGCATGTTTTGTGCCATTTTTAAAATAGTCACTCTTAACAACAGCTGCTTGTTGAATAACCGGCACACTAGAATAAGGAACATCATGCAGTAGCAATTTTTGCCATCTTGGCTATTGTGATTTTTTTGGGGGGAGGGGTTCGAATAAATGCAGTCCTTTAGAAGTGATTTTGCAGGATGAGAATGTGGTATAAAAAATTAAGTAACATATCTGAGAGAGCACACTAATCAAAGAAAGCAGCTGGAAAAAAGCATGAGTCTAGATTTACACTTCCTGCGAAGTGTGATGTTGCCAAATATACTATAGAATTAATTTTCAGGTAATTAAGTACTGAAAAAGTCCATCCACTGGATGGGCACAAGTGGCGTAACTCTTATTGGTTCCACTGGAGAGGTGCCAGTATACACTAATTGGTGATCTAGCTCAAATCAGGTCCAGTGTCAGGAACAGGAGGGAGCAACAAGCTGCATGCCCCCCTCATCAGAATCTGTGTGTAAATGTCATTTTAATAGTAACTGCTTTTATTTACCTAGTCCCCACTTCCAAGTATGACTGCTGTATGATTGCTAATGCTTTGAATAGTGTGGAACACAGGTCACAAGACGCTCACTGCTCGCACTGACAACACTGCAGGTTGTCCCTAGAAGTCTCTTCAATTTCTATTCTTCTACCTTGTCTTCTTTATCTATGTGCCCTCAAATTTGGATCACATTTCTTGTAAAATCTTAAATTGTAATATTTTTCTGAAGAGTCATTTGTAAGATTAGAGTTGTGGTTTTTTACCATTGCCCTTCAAAAGTGTCACCCATCACTACTATGTCAGACAGCTATATGTGCTCATTTAAGGAATCCGTAATCTCAACCTACCAGAATATCAAATCATTTGCTACGTAAACAGAACAGGGTGGATAATTCAGAATGAATAATCTATTCAGTGCATACTGGCACTTCTGTTTGTAGTGGGTAAGACTGAAGATTTAAACACTAAAAATTCCTGCAGATATTTTTGACCAATACATACAAAGAGTAAGTTTTTTTGCCTGTGACTCACAAGAACTGTTACTTTTACAATCATATGCAAAATTCATAACTTCCTATTTTGCTTTGACTGTGGACTACAGAGTGTGAAAGGTCACAGCTTGTGCTGTTGAACTAGTAAAGCGTGAAACTTTCTCTAAAGAAATGACACTCTGAAGTAGCTTTACGCAGAAGTCAGTTAAACTTTTGCTGGTAGCAAATAGTCATGGTGGGAAAACTCAAGTAAGCAAGTGTTTGTAATGAGCAGCTATCGGGGACAGGAGAGGGTAATCTAAATCTTATTCTGCCAGTTCAGACACTAGAAGCACTGTTCATTCAGACCAAGCTATTTTATATCAATAGTGCCTAGCTTTCTTACTAATTCTGAATTCAGTTCCAGTCTTCAGCTTACACCTATCCACATCCTGAACCTCACTGATGGGAATAATCTGGAAATCCCAGGCACTCATCAGCTGAATGTTACGTTTGGTATGTGTGTGTTTGCAGGATCCTAGCCCACACAACAGCTCTTAGGGGCCTGGGGAGCTCCTTGAAGACAGGTCTCGTGTTTAAGAGAAGTGCCTGTATGTCTTACACGTCTGCTTACAGCTGTAAAACCAAAAATCTTCAAGGCCTCTCAAAATTGGGGTTCAGGTTGCGCAGCGTAAATGAGTGGCACAACTGTATTGCAGGGGAGAGTGAAATTTTAACCTTATCCCTGAATTTCTGGACTATAACTTTTGTCAGCCTTCAAATATGAAAAGGAGTGTGTGTTGGGGACAGAGAAGAGTTAAGGACCTATTCTGGGAAAAAAATATATCAACTAAACATGTCTGATTTTGTTGCCAAACTCACTTTAATTCCATGTCTATAACAAAGGATGTGGCTCTGCTTTGCAGCACAGATGCCTTCTGTTCCCTCTAAAATTGCTAGCTCTCATGTAGGATGAGAGAATGACCAAGTCTAATTCAATTGCTGTTACTGTAGTAACTACAAACTCTTACCAAATAATCGTACTAAAAATCCAGATATTGCTGCCAAAAGTTTTTGGGTGTTTTTTGCGGATTATGATCTGTAGTATCTGTAAAAGTTAAAGCAAAGTTTCCCTGAATTGAGTGCCAGCACAAAACAAACAGCATTGCTGGTAAGTAAGAGAGAGGCTCCACAGTTGTAGCTTAAGAGCTGCACAAACATTCTGTGTTCGGTGAACCACTCTTTATTTTTGTGGTCTACAAAACTACATTCAGAACACAGCATAATTAAAACAAGGACAGAATTCATGAATTCATGAAGCATTTACTATGTAAGCCAAAGAAAAGATAAATTATATGCCTGAAATGTTTCACTGAGCCATGATTCATGCAAACAAAAGTGCTGGCAGGAATACATTCTTTTGATATGTTTTTCTAATGACTGAACTGAAACTACAGTATAAGTATTTAACGTGTTTATTACCCCCAAATCTGGGTCCTCAAAGAAATGAACTGAACATTTACATAATATCTGTTAACAGAAGAAAGTCAGTGTTAGAAGTTATTTCCAGAGTGTTCTTTCCTTATTTGCCTCTGGGGCTTTGCGCAGCGTATTATGCAGTGAGCTACAGAGGGTTTTGGGGTTATTTGACTATGGCTCTGGAAATGTGACATTGTAGGACTCCATGTTATTTCTCCCTGATTTATATGCTGGTGGTCTGAGTCTGTGCTTCTTCCTACAGAGGTATGGCCACAGAAGTGCAAGATGGATCACAGCATCTATCAAAGTCCATATCTGAGTTGTGTCGGTAGTTAATAGAAGCTTTGGCTTTGGGAATGTTGGAAGTAGGGTTCCTTGTGCTCTGCGAGTCGGAGTTGAGGGATTTTTGGATGGCACCATGCCTCAAGCTCTGCACCATCTGCAACAGCTTCCACTTCTACAGGGTGCAGTGTGGCTTTAGCAGGGAGATACTCTGGGAGAGCTGGTGCTGCCAGCGGTGGTACCGCCACCTCTGACGTTGTCCCAGCTGGCGTCGGCTGCTGGTAACCGCCGCTTGCTACAGTGCTTGCCAAAGAGGTCCCTGCCTCCTAAAGAGTGCAGCCCCACACCAGAGCTTGAGCTTGTGGGTGTGAAAAACAGTTTGCTTATTTTCGTTTGATAGCATCAAGTAGTAAAGACTTGGGTAGCATCATGAACTTCAGTAACAAAGCTAGTTATGTTCAACAGCACCTTGTCTGCCTCCTGTCTCTTTGATCTCTTGCCTCACGCCTTTGTTGCCCCTTTACAGTCTGAAATAGAGCCAGCATTTTTCATATATCCTGAGTTCTTGGGATGGCATCCCTGGAAGCTGATGCTGGCATGGCCACGCATGTTCTGCATGGGACATATTGTTCTTGGAGCTGCTCTGGCCTGTAACTGGCAGCGGGACAAAGTGGTGTGTTAGACCCTTGTAAGAAACTTCTAAATAGCCTGTTGAAGCACTCTGAACTACTGTGCTGGGTTTCTTCCTGGGTAAACTTGGAAAACGGTGGGTGGAGAATTAGAAGTCTGTTCTTGCAAGTAAAACCCCATGTATTTTAACTCCTTACATGCTGCGTGGAGACTGGCAACTCCATGCTTATCTTTCCTGATGCCAAATTAGCCCTCTGAAGTTTTAAAACATTTATGCATATCTTTAGTCTATTACATCCTTTCGTGACCTGTAGAAACGTATGTCCTCTGCAGATCCTGTACAATTACTGTAGGTTTTTTAATCAGTCAGTACAGGGAAAGGCTCTTGAGTACAATTCACTTTAATTTTCCTAATAAAAATAGCACCAAACAACTATGTGTAATTGGCAGGTTTAAAAAAAAAAAAACCTTGGTGCTACTTAGACCTCCAGCAGTCTTGAGAGCAGCAATTCAAAGATGTTCTTTATTGGAGGCACCTGGACAGGCTCATCAGTTTTATTTCTTGTCCCAATTTTTCCTCTGGATTAATTTGAGCATCTAGTATCCTAACAGCTGCTTCTCTAGTCACTGTTTCCTAAGTGACCAGATGTGTACTACTGTCTAAATAGTTGGGGATGATAACTTCTGCTGAAGAATTATGGCACTGCTATGGGTGTCTGCTCAATAATGTCTCGAGGCTACCACTGCGCTAGTAACAATTTACTTGAATAAGATAGATCCTGCACTTAGAATGTAGACAGATGGACAAAAGGGGGGAGGATTATTGGTAACACTCAGGCGTTACTAGCCAGATATAGTACTCCTAAATATTAGAAAAAGAGATGTTGAATGGGACATGAGGACTGGTCTCAAAGTGCACTCTCCTGCACAACGTTTGTGTTGGCTTCACCTGTGCAGGCTCAAGGCAAGAGTGGCCAGAATAGTTGGCAAATTCAGTATAAGAGAGTGCCAAGGTCTCCAAAACTGGTCCTAGAAGAGTGGGTTTTTAAAAAAAAAAAAAAATCTTTGTTTAGGTGTCTAAACAGAAACTGAGTAACTTAATATTACATACTTGTGAGTGCTTGAGCACTGGAAAATTATTTTTGGGCTCTGGGAACTGTAGTTCCAGGAAGAGTGATGGCAGCTCCATCTGGCTCAGAAAAATTACTTGGAGTTGTAGCTTTTTTCCTTCTTTTAATTTGTACAAAGTTTATGTTTGCTAGATAAAAAATTATTTCAGGAATTGCGGAGTACAGAGCATCAGAAGCAATCTTTGTATTGTACGATCAGACACTGAGCCATCAAAAGCCTAAATCTCAGTGTTTGTTCCTATTCACAAGTTCAGCCTTGAAAAGAGGAGCAGTGTTGTTTGGGATGCCGTGTGCAACTTTGCTTGTGTTTGTTACACTTGGTAGCTGAGAACAATGTTCCTCCAACCAATTGCAAATGCTGAATATATTAGAAAAGAGGGGAAAGATGTATAAATGCTCAATTGTTCTGAATATGTAGGCTGGAGAAGTATGGTTGGAATTAGGGTTGTGACTCTCAGAGCAACATAATGCAAGTCACAAAAGTTACTTTTGCATTCCAGTGGAAATTAAGCAGGGTAGGACTGAGGAAACTCTGCCCCTTTTTTTAGGAGATAGATGACTGCAACCGAAAAGACCTACAGCAGGACTCAGCAGGTGTCAACGGTCTCACTGCTGAGCAGCCTGAGAAGCCAGAGGTAAAACAAGACAACCCCCAAGCAGCTGCTGCAGTAGATAACTCCGTCATGAGTTTCCTTAAAACACTGGTAAGCTGCTGCCTTGCCTTTTCATCTCTAGGCTGTGCTTTAAACTGCTTATAAAAATCCCATGTGGACATGTCGAGCTAAATGTAACGTGTTTGCTGTCATGGGCACTGAGAAGTAATGAAGCCAAACAGATGCCTTAGAGAATGCATTGGGAGTGACAGAGATGTGGGGGTACAGCGCAGTCATGATCAAATGATGATGATGACCTGCTTTGGAAACTTCCTCTTCTAAAGAGATACTTGTAGACCTGCAAGTATTTAGCTGTCTGAAGGATTCTCTGCATGATGAAAGTTTATTTTGTACTAATTCTAAAAGTTCATTTTATTCATTAATTGAATGTATAAACTTGAATGATATATCTTTGGTCCAGATATTTTTCATTTTGGCCATTGACTTCAAGTTGTTCTCAGGAAACATTTATAATTTTTCCTGCATGGGGAGGAAGCGATGCTTGTACTTTTTTCGCCTTTGTGCTAGAAAACAATGCTAGTTTCAAACAGAAGATCTTTCAGACCTTTTGAAAGACTGAGTTGGGGGTGACTGTTTGTTTTTTCTTAAATACATTTAAGGTCTCCTCAAGCAAAGGTGAAGCCAAAAGTGATTCTGAAGACAAGGTAGGCAGATTCCTCATAATGTCACTGGTTGCTAGATGTTTGACACAGGTATTTTCTCTTCACTGTGTTGCTTTTTCCCCAGTTGATGCTATCATTTGAAGTAACTTTCAAATTTATTCAGGGGAAAAATATTTTAAGGAATGTGAGAATAAACAGTGCAATTCTTCATGTGTTATGACTTCCTCACGGAGAGGGTGGTGAAGCACTGGGACAGGTTGCCCAGAGAAGCTGTGGATGTCCCATCCCTGGAAGCGTCCAAGGCCAGGCTGGATGAGGCTTTGAGCAACCTGGTCTAGTGGAAGCAGGGATGCCCATGGCGGGGGGGTTGGAACTGGATGAACTTTAAGATCCCTCCCAACCCAAACCACTCTGATTCTGTGATCAAGATCTGAACTGCAGCTTTTTCAGCAAGACTGATGATGACTTGGTCATGCTTTTGGTTATTACTTCTGGTTTTTTGTATATGCCTGTTCTTTATCTCTTTTCATGCCTGTGGGAGCTGCCACATCCTGGTGCGGAGGACATGAGGTCCCTTTGCCTGTGGCAGCTCTGTGGCTCAGCGGGTGGAGGGGTGGGCAGGAGCCTGCTCCCCACCCTCCTGCCCTGCAGTGCATCCACAGCTACTGCTGTGTTCCCCCTTGGGGTGCAGGGGGATGTGCAAGGATCAGCTTCCCACGGAAATCAATAAAAAGGAGGAGATCCCAACATTTCACCTCCATGACTCTTCTGGCTGAAGTGCTCCTGTATGCACTGTGCTACAGTCACTGCTGATGGGCTTTTCCTGTGCAGCAGCTGAGATCTCGGGAAGATTATGGAGCTGCTTCGAGCAGGACTGGGACTTGCAGGGAGAGCTGCCCCTCCCTGACCTCTCAGGATTCCTTCCTTTACATGCAGAGATGAGGATCAGCTTTTGTAAGCAGGGTGAATTGAACGCTCAAGCTGTTCCAATGCAATGCATCAGGCTGACTGACTATAAGTGTGTGTGGTGTTCCCACTGGGATCCGAAATCCATATTGGCTGGACAGGTACAGAACCAGCCTGAGGAATGCTCCTCTATGTAACAGGCAGATGTGTCCTCTTGCTTTCCTCTTTACAAACCATTTGTTCTTGGATTCCACTGGCAAGAGGAAACCTGTTTCTAGCTTCCATGAGCCGTGATGTTGCTTTATATGTGAATTCAGAAAAGCTTCATTATAGCTTTCATTTCCTATTAGAGATACTGAAAATATTGGATTGATTCAATGTATTTAACAAACCTGTGGGAAAACCTAAACTGTAAAAAAAATTTAAATTTAAAACTGTCTTCTAAAATGGAAAAATGTAGGTGTTCAGAGACTTCTTTCCCCTTTTTTCCTGTTCTGTTAGTGCCAAAACTGACAACAGTTTTAACAGAGGCAGAAGTGAGACAATTTGTATTAAGCTGCCTTCTATCTTCTAGTGTTTCAGTGGCTTACAGGCATGTCACTGTGTAACTGAGAACTTCCAGCTGAAATGTCCTTACACATTGTTATGACTGTAATAACTAAAGTTTTTCTTGCAATGCTTGTGCTAGATTTTAATTAACACATCAAGAATAAAATCCTAAAAGAGGAAATGGTCTTTCCATGCAAGCATTAGACAGCCAAAATCACTATAGGCATTAACACTTTTGTTTTCTAGCCTATTTTTTTATGCTTTTTGTCCTATTCCATTTTTTATGTAGCCTGGTACTAAAATGGTGATGTCTTTCCAGAAAGTGTGGTGAGTACATGGGGGATACATATCACTCCCTGATTATAGCTCAATAATTCTGGAAACTGTCAACCAGGGCTGAGGCATTCCAAGATAACCTGAAAAGGAAGTTATCAAACTGTGCTGTCTCAGTGAGACTTGTAGCTCTTTCAACAACTTCTGAAAAAGCAGGTGGTTGAGTCCTGTTTGCATAGCTGCCTCTATCTTCATGTGCTTCTATAACAGGTGACTGTTGGTGGGGGCGTACTGTAATTTGGAAACAAATATGCTGTTTGGGTTTGGTTTGCTATCACACCTGTGAGGGTAAACAAACCCAGATGACTAGCAGGATATGCAAACTCATTACACAGAAGTTAAATGGGAGTTGGTTTTTTTTTTTATGAATTCCTTTAGCTTCACTAGTGTTTTCCTGATGCAAGGAATGATTATTTCACTATATTAAAGGGAAAATATGTTAAAAAGGTTAACTTGGCAACTGCTGTATGGAAAAGCAGCAGATCATACAGCTGATATGTATAATGAAATAATGGTAATGTTTCCCCTGAGAAATAACTTCTGTTTTAATGGTAAAGATGTGTTTTTCGTGCAGGATGAGCCTCCCCTGAGTGCCATGGGGCTTTTGTGTGGTTTGGCTTGCACAGGGACCGCTGTGCCAGAGTCCTAGTTGTGCTTTCATTTTGGTTACTCATGCACCCCCTTTGCTGGGAGGAGCTGGGCTTTCTCACATGGGATGAGGCACTGGGACAGGTTGCCCAGAGAAGCTGTGGATGCCCCCTCCCTGGAAATGTTCAAGGCCAGGCTGGATGAGGCTTGGAGCAACCTAGTCTAGTGGAAGGTGTCCCTGCCCATGGCAGGGGGGTTGGAACTAGATGGTCTTTAAGGTCCCTTCCAGCCCAAACCATTCTGTGGTCACACAAGGACTGGTATATTCCCTGTGTCTCTCAGCAGTGCTCTCCCATGGCTAAGAGGACACACAAGCTTCCTCATACCTGTGAGAAACCGCCACAGCCCACTTCAGCTTTGCAAAGCACGGTGGCATTTCCTGCTGAAATGCAGAGGAGTGCGCCATCGGTGAAGCTGAACTCAGTGTTTTTGTAGCAATATGCTGTCATAAGAAATGCCTCTGGCTTTCATCAGCTGGCTAAAGACATGTATGCTTTCAGCAGCCTGGGCACACCCTTAATGATCATCATTTCATCCATGTACACACAAGAGTTTAAGGCGAGTTGAGTCATACTTCCTTGGATTAATTGATGCTTTGCAAGTTTATACTAACCAACACAACTTTCAGATCAGATCTGCCCCAGACCATCTATTTGACCCTTCTGTAGCAGATTCTGGCTTGTTCCCATGTCACCATACCTCTGGGAATAATGGGAGTGGGATAGAGCACAGGAAAAGTGGCCCATTTTGATGTGACTGGCCACAGCCTCTTCATAGTACAAAGCACTTTGATTCAGAGCAATTACACGCTTCCTACAATCTTGAGACAAAGATCTCTACTTAATGTGCTCATATGTGTTACATTCTGTTCTCTGGACCTTTCCTCCTATCCAATTGTGGTTGTGCTCAACCACAGTGCTTGATACTTCACACCATAAACACTGTAGGCTGATTTTCTTTGCAGTTTGGGTCTCCATGTTTCCACAGTTCCTGGAAAATTTTTTTCAACTCATTTTGAAGCTTTTATTATTACCTTGTTCAAGTGTAAAAGAAAACAGACTGAGGCTTATAAAGTGACAAGCTAATTACCTGGAGGGTGAACACTTGAGTCATTTGTCACTGAAATACAACTTTAAAATTTTGTATTTCTTCACTATATATTGGCCTGATCCTTAATTAAATTAGAAACTCAATTGCCTGAGGGGGATCAGAATGAAGTTCAGGATACTAGCAAGAAGTAAGTAAAAGAAATATTATGTCCTCCTTGGTACTAGGTGATCTAAGACATCCTTCCGGTTTAAAACCTGACACAGTGAGGCACTGAGGAGGGAAGAGTGCTACCCTGTGTTATTTGTGATTAGTTGTATATTATGGGCATACGTACAGTGCAGTTACCACAGAATGGACTCTTGTGATAACCTGCTGGTATGTTTAAGCTTAGTTAACTGGGAAAACTAAACAGTTCCTCCACTGACAAATCCTGGGTTGTGTTGAAGACTGGAGGGAGTGAGGAGGGGACAGCACCAGAGACTTGAAGAGTGAGGTTTTGAGGAGATTCTTAAATTATGATTTTAAAAAATTCCTAATACTGGGAAAATTAAATGGAACATTTTAGCAAATGTTACTTCTGTTTTTCCAACGCTTGCAGAAAAGTCGTGTATTTGAATAGCAACACCTCTTCCCTATGCAGGTAGTCTGATGCTACTTTTAAAAGTAGCCTGATACTTCTTTATTCCCCATATAGACATCTATCGCTGTTTCCATATTTTACAGCCCTCTATAGTGTGTCTTTCAATGTGCTGTCCTAGTTTTTTAGAGATCCAGTCTCTACAATCATGGGGGGGATGATTCCCAAAACAAGCGCATCCTGTGGGTATCTAGAACGGAGTTAAGAGGAAGCAGAACTTTCTGATTCAACATTTTAGTATCAATCTGTCATTACTGTTTTTCTGATACTTCAATTTCTAACTAATTTAATTAAAATTATTGCAAACTTGAAATATTTTGTGTAGCATATATCATGAATATTCATACTGCCATTTTCCTAAATAATGCATTCTGCATATAATTTTAAAGTCCTTGTAATACTGCAATAGAAAGGATGAAGACATTTTCCAAGACTTGGATATCTGCCAATTTTAAACTTATAATTCCCAAATTCATTTGACTACTCATGAATTTAAATACAGAAGTCTCAGTCTTTGTGGGATAATTTGTGTCTCAATTTAATGAAGAACTTAGGGGGTGAATTGTGGTTTAATTTTGAACCAACTGTATTGCCCTAGCTTCTATATTTATTTTACCAATCACCATGTGAAAGAAAGTCTAAGAAGAGCTGTTAATTAGATGAAAACATAATTTCTTTTCCAGGGCGAGAAAGAGATGTTTGTTTCAAACACTCATATGTGTAGTATTAATGTTTCTCATGAACCAAATAATAACTTTGCAATAACTTGAACTCCATTTCAAATGCTGTTGTACAAAAGGGATCGAAAGCAGAAAAAGGCCATGGTGGGCAACCTGCTCTGAAGACAGCTGCAGAACCCCAAACTAAAGGAGGCAAGAAAAAGAAGGCAGAGAGTCCGAAGCTAGGACACAGTACTTTTAGCAAACTCTTTAGGCATAAGGTCTGTATGAAACTCTAGCAAGAGCAGAACCCTGAGCAGTAACAGATGGCTCCTGTCAGAGTGAAGTTATCCAATTGGTAACTGAAATCAGCACCTGGCCAGTCATGCAGTGCTCTGAAAACTACTGGTGTGAGCATTCCTGTGCCATGTGTTTTGAAAACAACCTTCATCTGCAATGTATCTCTCACTATACCATCTGTGAATTCAGGCTTCTGAAACGATTCCCCTAACTTTCCCTGCTATGTGCTTCCCAGTTATGCTTACTAATGCTGACTAAACTTCCCTGGCCACTTAAAATAGAAATAAAAGAAAAGGTACTGACAAACAATGAATTATGCAGGTATGAACAGTGCCTGCAGTTGTAGGACAGGTTTAAGAGCTCAGTCCAACTGCAGTTAAAACTTTATGATCCACATTGCCTTAACATGTACTGTCACATGGCTAAAACTGGTGATTTGGTGAACTGGGGCATCTGATACAACACAGAAGATTTGAACATGGTATTTCCTTCAGAAATAGTTACTTCTCACTGAAAACAAGGAAAGTAATTGTTGATTGACTTCTGTTTAGTTTGGAGAAAGTTTGGTGTTCAAGGATAATTTAATGTTGTACAAAACATGCTTTTTGTGCAAAAAAAAAATCAACACTGAAAACTTTAATCTTGTTTTTCAACTTCATGTTTTCATCAAGACATGAAAACTTTGGTCTCGTTCTATATTTGGGCACTTCTACATTCTCTGAAGAATATCGTCTGTCATGATGCTCTGTGGCAGGGAAGCAGAGCATTGTAGCTTTTTAGCCCAAAGAATGTAGAAGCAGAGACCCTTCCACTGGGGGAGGAAAGTAATTAATATTTAATGCTCACTCAAAACACCCACATGGAATTTCTGGTGAGTAGGGGGGTTTATAATCAAGAGCACAAAGCAAAGGGAGTTCCTTAGGATATTCTCAAAACAAAAATGTTCTTTCCATTATCTCATTTTTGCATATTACTGGGGGAATAATCATCTTACCAATGGTTTTAAGTCTACAGTTCATGCCAACAACTTAACTTTAAGATCTCATCTTGTATATACTACATTGATAGCTACTAGTATGGATGTTTAATACAATTAAAATTTGAATTACTTGTTCATAATGAATTGGGGCTTCCTGGTAAAGAAAACATACCTGGCTAGCATTTAAGGTGCTAAATCTCTTCTACAGTAGTTCAAAGTCTCACAAAGCGTTACTGGGGGAGAGAACTGGTTTTTATTAGGGTATTTTTTAGAATTTTAAAGACTTTTGGTCTGGAATGAAATCAGTTATCTTGAAGGAATGCAACAGCACTATATTTTTACATCAATAAAATCTGTCTTATGCCATTACTTTTTATATACTTAGAAACAAGAAAACGCTATTTATGTTCACAGCTTTCTCTCCACATACCCCACTTACCGCTTCTGTATTTTGTATCATTTATGATGGATTAAAATGCTGCCAACAGTTTGTTTGTAAGGCTGATTGAAAGTGGAAATTCAAATCAGAGCAGTGATGTCACAGGCAAGCCCTGAAGTTATCACCTCTAGTAAAAAAAGTAGTTCTGTTTATCTCCTTTCATTTAAAATGCCTTTGCATGATGTGTCAACTAGATGACTAGGTAATTAATTCCTTTATATTGAAACGATTGTTTCAAATATATAGTCCCATTTAATTTTAACTCTCTTCTCTGAAAGTTCTGTCTCTATGAGTCTTCCAAAATGCACTTCTCAGAACCTTAGTTAAGAAAAGATTTACTATTAGGTTAACGAACATTGTTTTTCAGTGTCCTGTGTTTACATAAGTGCTAACTTTAAAGCCATTTGTGAATGTTCTTAGAACAATGTGCATCCTAACATAAATCCATAACATAAGCTTATGCAATGGGATTTGGTGATTTGACCTCAAAGACTGAGTCTGGATGGCATTGGACAGCTGAGTCCCTGTCAGTTCTTTTATTCCCATCCACTTATATTTGCCTTGCATTGCATGCCAATTTTGCATTATAACTGTACTTACTCATGAAATTTTGAGTTGGAAAGGTTAATCATTTATTTTCAGCCAGCTACATTACACTACTTTTTACCACTTGTTCTGGATCTTGTTCATTAGAGCTAACCATGAAAAGTTCTTGGCTCCTGCAGAATACCTCTTGCCTATTATTTCAAGAAATCCTCAAAACATGTGGTGGGCAGCCTCAATCCAGGAGTGATAGACTCCTGATTATTTGAGTCTATGGCTTGCAGCTCCTTTTTGTACAGCTCAGAAATTCACCTTCAGCATAAGCTATGCTGGATGTTGAGGTCAATAAATACTGATATGTATCACTGGCCAGAAAGGAGCTTACCTGGATCACTCCTGCCTTTGTGTATTTTGATGACACCAGGAGACCTGTCACTGTGAATGATGTTTTCACAAAAGAGTAAATCCCACCTAATGCACAAAGGGTGAGTGGATGGGCTAAACCACCCTCCAGTGCCTGCAGAGCCTCTCTTTATAGAGCTGCAACTCCTGTTTCTAAGTTATAAAGCCACTCCAGTTCTATTTCCTTCATTCCCAGACACCCATCTGCCTATGTTTTGTATTCCAGAAAGCAGAGCCTCCTGCTTTGAGTGTGGCATTAGCACGTCCCTGACTGGTGTGCAGCTTTCCCAGTGGAAAAGACCCAGCTCTGGCTTGTACATGTGCACTGAAACTTGCACATGCAGACCCAGTTCAGAAAAAAAAAAAATCTCTGCTAATATCTTAAAACCCTGTGTGATGTCATACCTGAAGAAACTGGGACTGCATATGTAAATAACACATGTTTTGAAGGAACAAGTTGAGGACTGCAAGCACAGTAGCATGAGCACGAAACAATTCAACACAAGGCTGCAACGCTACTGCAGGTAGAAGGATGTGAGCTGGCAGCCCCTTCAGGCAGCCTCGCCTCTGCCAGAGATCAGTTTCCATGGTTGCAGGAGCCGGGACTTTCACAAACATTCCCTAAAAATAAAATAATTTGTGACACAGACAATTCCTGAACTGTGTAACTGTGAGCGCTGACATTGCCAGAGACAGACTTGCCTTTGTGGGTTTTTTTTCCCTTCAGGCTGCGAAAGACACCCAACAGACATCTAATACCAAAGTGAGTAGGATGATTCAAGTTAACTGTATGAATAACGCAGTCAAAGGGTAATTATTCTTGCTGTTGTTTTCAGTCTCAGAGACACTGTTTTAATTTCTTAATCAATTAATCATCTCTGTTATGAAGGGTGGATTGCTATGTAATTTGCTTCCTCTGTTCAAGATGTTACTTCATTTGAAAGGACGGGGATGCAGTTCGTAAGGTGCACCTTGTTGCTTGGTGTGTCCTGTGCAGTGGTGGTCCACTGCGTACTTATCTCTTGGACAAGGTGATGCCTGAACGTGCTGTATCTTGTCCTTTGCATGTTTTCAATAGCCTATGCATTTGTGCTTCTTTCCAGAGCACTGAACAGCTGCCTGTTACCTCTGTCAAACCAGACAAAAATGTCCCTTCCTCTCAAGAGCCGCAGACAACTAAGCAGAACACGAAAGCCCCCGAGCCTGCAGCCCAACAACAGGCACTGGCCTCCGAAGCCCCCAAGGAGGTGACAAAGGAGAAAGCAACATCCACTCCTATGCCACTGAGCAAACTCTTTTGGAAAAAGGTACGTCTGGATTTCGGAGCTGGTCCATCCCACAGCTCCATCCTCACGCAGCACCTGGAGTTATTGCTAAGCCCAGAGTTACAGTAAAGCAGTCACACCTGCGAAGCTGAGCATGTCCCACGTGCTGAATGCACAACGGATGTGAATGATAAATGCAGTTACAAATGCTTTGGGCGAACACACATACGCACGGCTAACGATGGCAGTGAGACTCCTGCAGAAAAATCTCATAAAACTGTAGTCTTTTAAATCTGCCTGTACTGGTTTTTTTAATGTTATTATAGAAGAAGGAATATTAGTCTGTCAATTTAACACACTTGTTAAGCATCCTATGGAGTTTATAGTACTCTTTACCAAATTATATCATTGAGATATAGCTATTAAAAACACATTCCACTTTTATGACAATTGTTTGATTTAGTTCTAAATGTCTGAAAACCTGGAATCTGGTGGATTTACTGAACAGAAAAAGTTTCATACCAGAGTTGATTGGTTTAAGTTTGGAGATTGAGGTCGATTGCTTGGGAAGACACATTTTTTTCCCTCAGGTTAAATAAGAATTTTAACTAAATTTAGGACTAACTTTGAAAACGTGTTTCCTGTTTCCATGATCCTCAGTGGTTTATAAGCTGAAGGTTTATTCTTTTCAGATTTCATTAAGGAGAAGAGCTGTATTAAACTTTAGTGAATCACTGTATGTTGAATAACTGTTTTTCTGGGCTTCTGTTCAAGTTCAAATCCCAGAAATGAAATGCTTCCAAGCACACAGATGCTCAGTGGCTAGCCCTGCAACTTCTTTAGCTGTATGTTCCCTAGTTCCCTACTGGGCAAGGATTCTGGAGATACAGCTTGGATATGTTACTTACATTAAAGAAGCTAAAGGTGTTTAGATGTTTACAGTGTAAACATGATTGTAAGCTTGAAACATTTGTTACTTGGAACTTAATTTCCTGTGGAACTAGGTGAATCAGGTACTTAGAATAAGAGGAAAGTTGTGAAGAGGCAGAGGGAGATTTTTTATATAGTTATTGCTACAAAAACCTCTGTCGGAGTAGTCTGGCTTATTTGAAAACAGAGATGGGAGGCAGGATGTACGCTGAACATCAGGATGAAATAAAAAGAAGAGGCCTTCTGGCAGATGGTTGCATGCAGTTTCAGTGTAAAACAGAGTAATAAACCTGGTCTGAAGTTCAGTATTTTCATAATGAAGTAACAAGGCCTTTTGTGTATTTGAGAAAGAAAAAAGCATCTAAGAAGGGAAAGTTTTAGTGCCGAAAAATAGCAAAAAACAAAATCATTCCTGGGAAGCGATTGGTGGTGATGGTTAGTTTATGACTCTGGTAAGGTTTTGGTAAGATTGCAAAACCTTATTTTGAAAGATTAATCCAAACTAATGTAGTTGTAGATATTTTGCTGCTCTGTATAATGTAGGTTCTGCTCATGGTGAATATTAGCTCCCCATATCTCATACCTAGGCTAAACTAGGTCTAGGTAACTACCCTCTGTCTTTTTAACCTTATAATCTGTTTGGAATCTCAAACATCTCAGGTGTCTAAACCTTTTACCTAAATTATGTCTCCCTTCTGTTTTTCATGATGTTGGGTTTAATTTATCTTACATCATTAAAATAAAGCTGCCTACATCGGTTAATGGAATGTGTACAGAACTCTCTACAATGCTGAACAGGTTTTGGTTGCTACCAAAAGCAAATGTTATTTAAAATGTTTAAATGTTATTTAAATAATTTACCCAAATGCACTGAACTACAACAGTACATTAAATCTGCCTTTTAACTTTGAAAAATTAGGTCATTTCTTCTTAGTTAGAAATTCTTGGGTCTTGAATTGTCCTGAGACCAAATGTTTTTGCAAGTTTTCTGGAGTAAATTTCTGCAGTAGAGAACCGAAGTTGGTCCTAAGGTTTTTTTTAAAAAAAAAAAAAATCTGCCCGCTTGAGCATTGAATCCTTACCTATAGAAGGCTGATGTTGCTTTACTGGATTTTCTTGACAGAGAATAATATTATATTTCCTTTGATGAAAGACCTTGGTGACCCAGTCAGGTTGAAGATGTAAAAAAAAGTCTATAGGCTGGACTGGAACTCGGCTTGGTTCGAGGATTCTGTCTTTTTTTAGTGATTTTGTCTGTCTTTCTGGCACCCTTAATGTACTGCCCTTTTGCTGGGATAGAGAATCTACCAGCAACTGTTCTAAATAGGTGTATAATTCAGTCATGTGTAGCTTTTCCTTTTGAACTAACACAGAGCAACCACAACACTCAATAGATCCAGGATTCAGATCCAACTTCCCTCTTTCCAGGCAGTCTCTCAAATATCTATCTTCTGATGAGCTTTCACTTCAAAGTAAAGCTAATGAAGTGCCTGTCAACACATTGCAGTTAATGCAGCTGCTTTGACTACAGATGAATAAATATGTAAAAGAAAAAGAAAAAGTCTTTATTCAACCCCTCAGATGGAAACCACTTTGACTGTATTTGACCCATTTCCTGATCAGTCTGCACAAGAATTTTCATAACTGTTACTCAAATGTTTGTCATACTAGCATCGTTTTCAAATACTAAGGAATACTAACAGAAAATTACAGTTAGTAATTTCACATTTGTCTTGGAGACCTGATTTTCAAGACCTTTGAGATATCAGATCAGGGCAGAGAACATGACGCTTCATTTATATCTGATCAAAGCATGCCAGTAAATGATGGGGGAAAGTGATTGAGGGAGTATTTAGACTGCTCTGTGAATTATCTTTAAAAGCGGATGTATTTTTAAAAAAAAAAAACTAGAATTTTAGGCTGTTGCAATTCTGTTGCCATGCAAACACATGCCCTTTTCACTGCGAGATATTTATGCACTGATAATACAAACAGCAAACTGGTTAGCTATTAAGTGAAGCAGAGTAACACCTTTTATTGCTGAGCCTGCAAACATACCCAACCATAAGAAAGCAAATATTTATGTTTGGGTGGAGTGTGTGAGAAAAATGTTAAAATTACCCAGGACTTATCAAGTTCCCCTGTATTCCAGGATGGGAGCAGGTAAGCTGTTCCCATCCTGGAATATAACCTATCAGGCAGGAGGGAAGGAGATTCTGGCCATTTTTTCATGGGTAAATGGATGAAGAGAATTCCCCTGGTTGAGGGAGTGAGGTGGACGACAAGCAGTGGGTTTTTGGGAGCAATTTCACAACCTGACTTCTATCATAGCTGCAGGGAGGGGCCTTTACACCCTAAATGCAGCAAATAAATTGAACAGGACTTGAGTCAGAACCACGCTTCTGGGCTGTTTACAGAACTGTGTGGTGTTAACCATACGCTCACAGTGGTTAACACCAAGTGGTTAATAGAATGAGTTGTTACGGCTCAAGATCTGCAGAGTGGTACCTTCAGACAGCAGCTGCGGGTCACAGGGGGCTTCAGGGTGGAGGTCAGAGAGCACGTTGATGGCTAAAGCTGAGCTACCTTAACTGCAGCAACCTGTGTCTTTGCATTGGCAAAGGAGGGCAGGAGGGTGGGTTAAAGACTCTCTAAGCCTCTCGGCTTCCTGCCTGTTAGTGGCAGGAGCAGATCTCAAGCATGACTGCCCTTTTAAGTGGAAATTTCTTGAGCAAAAGGTCATCTCTCATCTACATTGTTGAGATAAAAGAAAAGCTACTTCATAAAGAAGGTATGACCCAGGAAAAACAGAAGAACCGCTCCTTGAGTCTAATGAAATGCAGTGGAGAGTGCCAGTTCATACTTCAGCACAGGATCAAAGCAGGGTATAGTGTTTACCTCAGTTTTGAGGAAAGATGCATCAAGCAAAAGTAAAACTCCTATCAAAGTTATCCAGGTCACAAAATGTTACACTCTCATAGGACAACAATTTATATGGTGTCGTGATTTAAGCCAGCAACTAAACACCACACAGCCGCTGGCTCACTCCGCCCCAGTGGGATAGGGGAGAGAATCAGAAGAGTAAAGTGAGAAAACTTGTGGGTTGAGATAGAGCCAGTTTAATAGGTAAAGCAAAATCTGTGCCACACATAGGCAAACCAAGGAATCCATTCACCACTTCTTATTGGCAGGCAGGTGTTCATCCATCTCCAGGAAAGCAGCATGTGTAACAGTTACTTGGGAAGAAAACCACCATCACTCCCAATGGTCCCCCCTTCCTTCCCCCAGCTTTACATGCTGAGCATGATGTCATATAATATGGAATATCCCTTTGGTCAGTTAGGGTCAGCTGTCCTGGTTGTGTCCCCTCACAACTTCTTATGCCCCCCCCTCCCAAGTCCACTCGCTGGTGGGGGGGTGAGGAGCAGCAAAGGCCTTGACTCTGTAAGCACTGCTCAGCAGTAATGAAAACATCCCTGTGTTATCAACACTGTTTCCAGCACAAATCCAAACCATAGCCCCATACCAGCTACTGTGAAGAAAATTAACTCTCTCCCAGACAGAACCAGCACATATGGTCAAGGATGTAGATAAGAAAATGGTGTAGTAATAGTTCACCAAAACGATAGGAATCTTTAAGAACCAGAAAGTGGACTCAAAGGGTAGAGACAAATTTTCTACCAAATCTGTTTTAAGTAAGCTATTACTAGAAGAAAATTAGGGAAACTGTGATTTAATATGCTTCACAGACATAGTGAAACAGAGAGCCTAGTAGAATACTCTCTTTACTATGTGTGTTTTATAAACTATTATTTTGAAAAAGAAAACAAAGGTAGTTGTGTAATAGGAGGAATAAAGGATGGTGCCCATCTTATTTCTTCAAGCAAATGCATCTTGAAATGTTTTGTGAGCTTGGCAGAGTGCCTTTAAAAAAAAAAAATAAAAGAAAGAAAATAACCCAATAGCACTTCTGTCTCCGTGGGGTGTAACAGCAGTAGCTGCTGGCTTAGGTTGAACTTATTACAATCTGTGTCTCAGGAAACGAGGCAAAATATGCACCCATGAACCCAGCAACCTCATTTGATGCAATTTATAGATATAAGGTGATAATTACATTTATGAGAACACTTACGCATTAAAGACTCGTAAAGCGGGTGAGAGTTAGGCTGTTAGCAATTTATTATTATGTACAAACTGCAGTTTCCTCCTAAAACTACTCACAAAACTCGATATAATTTTTGTTTTTCTCGCAGGTGAAGAAAAGAAACTGAGCCTATTGCTCTAGAGAACAGTTTAGGTTAATGTAACATCATTCAAAGTTTATTTACTTTATCTTTGTCAGGGTCTTCCTATTATACTTTCAATTCCTGCCAGAAACACCTTGGCGATTCCTCTGAATGCACAAATGGAAAATTTTCTTCTAGATTCCTAAGGGAAAAAGGAACAAAATTTAAAAACTGTTCTTAAAAGTATGTCAGAAAATCTTCTTAGCTGGAAGAGGTTTTCGCCTCTACTGAAAGACCACACGTACATTGGTATTCTCTGTGTCTCTGAGCTACACAGTATAGCACGGGCATGTGTATGCAAAAAAAAAAAAAAAAGGTAAAAATAAGGTATTCCAAAGCAGGATTTAAACTTTCCTAAAGCCTCCTATGGAATCTATAGAGGGATGTACAAAAGTCACCGCTTATTAAACAAAACTATCTCTCTGAGTAGTTGACTATCACTTAGCTCTTTTTTTAATTTAAATAGGCAGTGCTTTTCAGAGTTTGGCATCTTGCCCCAGGATGCTTTTGTTATCAGTAGTGAGACTAAGGCCATTGCACAGACGTAGCTTGAGAGACAAAACTCATTTGGGTTGCAGCTGTAACAGCACAGCAGTAATACGATCCCAAAGCGTAATCTTTGAATGATGAGCTCCCAGAAGCTAGGTTGCTGCTTTATTGAGCCACTGTTTCAACTCATGCAATGAATCACTTCCTTCAAGCAAATAGATGGTGAATTGATTGTAGGTATGTGTGAATAGGCAGAAATATAGATTAAAATTATTATAGATTATCTCCAAAATGTTCATAAATATAAATTAAATCTACAATTCCATGGGGAAGTGGGCAATGCTGCAGTCTTCTCAGGCAGCAGGGGACAAGGAATATTTATTCTGTCATCATTCTTCTGCCCCTCACCCCCAAAATGCTTTTCTTCCACAAAAGAGTAGTAAACAAAGCAAAATCTCTCATGCTGATGTAGATGTCCATGGTGAGACTCCACCTTGCATATGGGGTCCCCCCAATGAAAAAAGAATGATAGAACTAGAAGGTATAATATTGAGAGAAAAATGTATATCTATATTGGAGAAAAATGCATGCATAGATTGAATGACTTCTGTATGAACAACTTCATAGATTAGGGTGTTTTTCTCTTTGCTCAGAAAGGAGGTGGCAGACAGGAAGATGACAGCAGCATACAAAATGAGTACTGTAACATAAAAGGTGAACAGGAAAGATGAGGCATTGCTCAAAATAAAAAAAGAGTATCAAATAAAATTATTTGGTGACAAAAATAAAGTACTTTTCAAAAAAAAAAGTATACTTCAGCTGTAGAATTCTTTGCCACGGGATGCTGCTGGATGTCAGGAATTTTTATCAACTCAGAAAATGTTTAGCTAAATTTCTGCAGGAAAAAAATTCCATCAAGGACTCTTAAACTAAAGCTACTGCATGGGAATCACCAAGTTGAAGACTTGGTGGAAAAGTATACGAGGGCAGTACTACAGTATGCTGCTGCTGGAGAAGGCAACCTTTTTTTACCACTCTGAGTCAGAATATGGGGCTGGGATGCATCTTTGGTGTTGTCTTTTTAATTTCTTATGTTCACGTGACTGATTTGGTCCAGATAATTGTGTATGCTTTACATCCAAGTTCCTGTAAGTACATGTAAAAACCGTGAAGCATAAATAACTATTTACAGCAGTTCTTCCCTATAGTAACCATAGTATACATTCCAGCTGTAACTAGGCTGTATTTTTAAGCATTTCTGTGTGATTCAGTATTGGAGGCTGGGGTTGCAACTTATCCTGCTTTTATAATGTTCTGTACCTTTCTGCAACAGGCTGATAAAGGGCTTGCTTCAGGCCAAATTACCTGGTTATTAGCATAATAGCTTCTTTTTATGGCAGAGAAGATACTTCTTTATACAGTTACAGCGGGTTGGGAATTCATTGCTCTTGAGGGCACAGAAGAATGTTATTTGCCAGGGCAGAAGAGGCAGCTAAGAAAATGCACGTTCAGCCTCCTGCACCAGCAATGTGCCTCCTGTTCGTCTGTTCTGCTCTGCAGATCTTGCTGTTCACTTTAACACACTGAGCGTTCCCAGGATAGCCTTGAGAAGTGTGTGGAATGACACATGCAGAGGATTAATCAATAAATCTTATGAGGATCCATATTTCAGAGGCATTTACAAACTACATGCCTCTGGTTGAAGTACTGTTATAACAGAAGGAACTTTCCAGTAATTCACAGAAGCTCAGTGGGACCCAAAATCCTTGTATAAATGCAATGCTGCTGAGTATCCAGCAGCTTTTCTTGAACCCAAATGAGGGTCAACAATATCAAAGGGGGTGACTGTGACCCATGAGATTAGGTGAAGTAATAGATGAGCTGCTTAACTACCTTGTGCTTCCAAAAGTCATTTATATCTTTGCCACTGGAATGAGGAGCGAGCGTTGTGAATGTGACCAGCCTGAGAACACTGTGGATGGGACATATTTCTGTATTTCACAAAGAAGGGCTCTAAACAGAGTTCTAGCAACTCATAAAGCCTGTGGTGTGTTTTAAATACTTAGTCCTATGATTTCTTTTGTGTGCAAACTCCTGGGTATGATATTTCTCATTTATACTGGTTCTACCTGCTCATTGCACATCCCACTGCAAGTAATCTTGTTATGGTTTTAAGTCATAAAGATAAATCATTGTGAGCCAGTAAGAAAGGCTATTTCTTCAGTTTAAACAAGTGCTTTAAAATGTCACCAGCTTATATACCTTTCTGAATCAGGATGAACCAAATTTTTGAAGAAACCTGCAGATACAGTGACACTGAGAGTGCTTTCACGCCATGTTTGTTCACAACTCGCTGTCGCGCTGAAGCACTTTGATCACAATCTCTTAAAAAACCCCAAAATCTCACTGATTAAATATGTTTTTTTCTTTTTTTTTTTTTCACTTTCTCAATATTTGCCTAAAATAACCCCAGAACACACTGGAAGAAGCAGAGATCGTAAGCAATGAAAAGGCTGACAGGCCTTTAGAAGCCGTGGCTCCTGACAAAGATGAGGGTAAAAGCCCAGAACCTGCAGAAGTGAAGCCTAGAAGAGAAGAAAGTAAAACTCCCAAAGCAAACCTGAGGAAGTTTTTTAAGCTGGTAAGCAAAATAATGAATTTCAAGCGTTTGGAGTGATGGGTTTTTGCAAGGCTGGGGGTGGTAATCCCTAGTCTTTGGCAGAGGGACCGGCCCTTGCCCACAGGCGGGTTCCCGCCCCGGGCCAGCCGCGCGCCCGCCCTTCGCGCCATTTTGCGTTCTGCATCGCCCTCTGGTGGCTCCGGCGGGAACGGCCCTGAGGCC